CCCAGAGAACCTGTCAAAGGAGGTAGACTGGCCTAAAGCTTCCAGCAAGCTGGAGATGGAGGCAGAGGCACCAGTAGTTCATCTTTAGCTACATCCCAACTGTCACCACCACCAACACTTGACAAATTCCATCCTATCTACACCAGCTCTTCCATCCTAATAGCCAAGCCTTGTCAAGGTCCACCTGCAGCCACCCTGAGGATTTGCATTTCTTTATTTGTTATAATTTATTTGTTTTATTTTATGTGCATTGATGTTTTGCCTGAATGCATGTCTGTCAGGTCCCCTGAAACTGGAGCCACAGACTGTTGTGAGCCACCATGTGGGTGCTGGGACTTGAACCCGGGTCCTCTGGAAGAGCAGCCAGTGCTCTTAACCACTGAGCCATCTCTCCAGCCCCTAGGATTTGAATTTCTTAAGTGCTATTACTGCCTCTTGTAAGATCTGTCAAATATCAGACCCCAACTCCAGATACCGCAGGGCAGAGGCTCTCTCCCCAGAACTGACTGGCAACTTGACTTTACCCACATGCCCACAGTCAAATGAATTAGGTACCTTCTGGTCTTGGTGGACATATTGTCAGGGTGGAGGGAAGCATTCCCCATCACTAACTTAAGGGCTCAGACAATCTCTCACCTCCTCCCACAGGAGATCATTCCCTGATTTATAATCCCCACCTCCCTCCAGTCAGACAGTGGTCCTGAATTTACCTCCCAGATTTCTCAAACCCTATCTAAAGCCCCCAGCACTCCTTGGCATTTCCATATCCCATACCATCCCTAGTCCTCGGGAAAAATAGAAGGAACTAACCACTCCTTAAAAAAACCTCTTGTCTACAGAATTTCTGTTTTGTGTGATGGGAAAGCCCCACAAACAGACAGTAGTATCAGGACAGAATATCATGAATGTAATAAATCAATATAATTAATGTAATTAATGAATATCATAGTTATTGAATGAATACTGCGAATGTAATCAATGAATACCACAAATGTAATTAATATCATGAGTGTAATTAATGAATATCATAAGTGTAAAAAAAAAACACCCTTGTCAAACTGTCAGGAGCTTCACCTTGACCAAGTAAAGGCCCTGCTGCTGGCCCTTCACAGGCTATGGGCTCTCCCCAAGCAACCTTTCCATCTCGCCCTTTGAGCTCATGTACGGACGGACGGACGGCCAGTTCTGACCCTCAGTCTTCCATCCAAACCCTCACCTCTCCCTGATCACCTACTCACTCCCTGACTCTGTTACCTCCTACGGAACCTCACTGACCACTCCCTACCCCGGCAGTGCACCAACCCCTGCCCATCTCCTCCAGACCAACGTCCCTCACCCTTCCCCTAAATGGCAGGGCCCCTTCCAGGTAATTCTTGTAACCCTGACAACCACTAAGCTTGAGGGCCTCCCTCATTGGATTCCCCTGTCCCACCTCAAGCCCTTTACTCCCCCACCTCAAGGCAATTTTCCTTCGTACACATTAACCCCAACAGGACCCTGCTCCCTTAAGTTTCAGAGGACACCGAGATCAACCGCCTTGTCCCCAGTTCCAGAAGAATAAGGCTTCACTCTGTCAGCCATGCTCAACTCTGCTGGATTGAGAACCTCATATGGAAGTGGATGCTTCCTTCCTGACCCCTCTCCTTCTCCTTGTCCTGACTCTACCACATCCTGCTATATCAATTTCGTCTCTATGTTTCTCTAATGACATATTCAAAACTCTCTAATCAAACAATCAATCAGCTATTGTTACAGGACTACCAACCTTTAGCCACAGAGCTGGAGGTGCATGATTACCAAATATGCCTGGATGGTGAGAATAACAGCACCCCAGAGATAGCTACACCCCCACACCCCCAGACAGCAGGAAGCCGTCTAAGAGAGCACGATGCCCCCATCCCTGCCTCGCCGTCCCCCTTCCTATTTTTTTCTCATCTTTTATAATAAACCAAAGGAAGGAATGTTAGCATTCAGGCATTTACACCAGCCTGCCCTCGGGGACCTAGCAGGACATGTCATCAGCAGCAGCCAGCATGTGACACTGTGACCACTGTAGCTACTGAGTAGAGCGCTCTCCCTGTGCGCATGTGCTAGATTCCCTTATAAAAAGCAAGCCCTTCTAGCCCCTCTCTCTCTTCCTTCTGCTCTCACTCAGAGGCTGCCACTGCACATCCCTAATAAACCTCCCAGCACTCGGGAGGCAGAGGCAGGCGGATCTCTGTGAGTTCGAGGCCAGCCTGGACTACAGAGTGAGTTCCAGGAAAGGCGCAAAGTTACACAGAGAAACCCTGTCTCGAAAAAAAACAAAACAAAAACAAAAACAAACAACAACAACAAAAAAACCCCGAAAAGACATTGACTGTTCTTCCAGAGGTCCTGAGTTCAATTCCCAGCAACCACATGGTGGCTCATAACCATCTGTAATGAGATCTGGTGCCCTCTTCTGGCCTGCAAGGATACATGCAGACATTACACTGTATATATAATAAATAAACAAATCTTTTTTTTTTTTTTTTTTTTTGGTTTTTTTTCGAGACAGGGTTTCTCAGTGTAGCTTTGCGCCTTTCCTGGGACTCACTTGGTAGCCCAGGCTGGCCTTGAACTCACAGAGATCCGCCTGACTCTGCCTCCCAAGTGCTGGGATTAAAGGTGTGCGCCACCACCGCCCGGCAAACAAATCTTTAAAACAACAACAACAACAACAGAAAAAAAAACATAGCTCTCTGAACAGATGCAGATAGGGTTCTTCTGTATCCCAGAATCTAATCAATATTTATATGTATAATTCAGCTATCATTTGTCTTAAAAGGGCTTATTGGGAAATGCTATCATTTTTACTATTTTCTACAGAGAAAATATTTTGCTGTTTAAAATAACCCTGGAGCCTGGCGGGGGGTGGTGGCACATGCCTTTAATCCCAGCACTCGGGAGGCAGAGCCAGGCAGATCTCTGTGAGTTCGAGGCCAGCCTGGGCTACCAAGTGAGTTCCAGGAAAAGGCGCAAAGCTACACAGAGAAACCCTGTCTCGAAAAACCAAAAATAAATAAATAAATAAATAAAATAACCCTGGAGTTTTGAATTATAACCTGTTTTTATGTTAAAAAATAAATTTAAGGTTATTTGTGAACACACATCAAAATATATACAGTTATAAAAAACAAGATGTACACTTAAGATTGTAAATTAGGCCGGGTGGTGGTGGCACACATGCCTTTAATCCCAGCACTCAGGAGGTAGTGGCAGGTGGATCTCTATGCCTTTGAGGCTAGCCTGGTCTACTGAGCTAGTTCCAGGATAGTCAGGGTTACACAGAGAAACCCTGTCTAGAAAAACAAAACAAAGGATTTTTAAATTATACCTGAATTAGAAGAAGAACCATGAAAGAAACTAGAGTCTTTGGAAATAAAGTTTCTCACCAAAATGAAAAATTCAATAGAAAGGTTGGGAAATAGATCTCCCTGCACACAGGGCAAGTACAGCTACAGAGGATTATGTTCTGGTGGAGATCTACATCTTAGCACCACACATTCCAACTGGTACACACCCCTAGAAAAATGGCCCTGAAGATGATACAGAAAAAATGGGAGTTAAACAATGAGATTGTATTTTATATCTAGTTAACTAAAAAATTGTTTCAGCGATACATAACTGCTGCTTTGTCTTTTCCAGGAGCTGGAGGAAAAGCCAAGCATCATCCATCATATCAGGGCTTATCCTTTGCCCAGGAAAAGTCACTGCTGCAAATCTGTCCAAAGATAATGTCTCAGTCTGTTTGAGCTGCTGTAACAAAATACCATAAACAAGTCCGGGCAGTGGTGGCACACGCCTTTAATCCCAGCATTCGGGAGGCAGAGGTAGGTGGATCTCTGTGAGTTTGAGGTCAGCCTGGGCTACAGAGCAAGCTCCAGGACAGGCTCCAAAGCTACACAGAGAAACCCTGTCTCGAAAAACAAAAACAAAAACCTTCTTCTTCTTCTTCTTCTTCTTCTTCTTCTTCTTCTTCTTCTTCTTCTTCTTCTTCTTCTTCTTCTTCTTCTTCTTCTTCTTCTTCTTCTTCTTCTCCTCCTCCCCCCCCTCCTCCTCCCCCCCCCCTCCTCCTCCTCCTCCTCCTCCTCCCTCCCCCCCCCCTCCTCCTCCCCCCCCCCCTCCTCCTCCTCCTCCTCCTCCTTCTTCTTCTGGTTGTCAACACAGGGTTTCACTGTGTAGCTTTGGAGCCTGTCCTGCAACTTGCTCTGTAGCCCAGGCTGGCCTCAAACTCACAACAGAGATCCTCCTGCCCCTGCCTCCCTAGTGCTGGGACTAAAGGCGTGCACCACCACCACCCAGTTTAACAACTGACTTCTTACAATCCTGCAAAGTGTGAGACATGAGTAGATTGGGGTGTGTGCGTGTGCATATATGTGCGGGGGGGGGGGCACTTTCTGGTATATAGATGACTCCTTCTAGCTGTGTCCTCACATAGTAGAGGGGGGCCAAGGCATCCTTCCTCCTGGGGTGCTTTAAACTTTTCCTACATACGCCCAATAAAGGAGTAACAATTAACAGTATGGTGTGCCTTTCAGCCTCAGTGGCAGGAAACCCAGAGGCACCGGGAACACACAGTACCCAGAGGGAGGCAGCATCCCTTTGCCCAAGCAACATCCCTCCGGAGCCAGGCTGGGAGACCACATCGAGGAAAAAAGTCGCGCGGCTCAGCCGGGGTTCCGCCGCGCGAGCCCTGCCCTTCCAACCGCTGGGCAGAGCAGCACGGCAGCCATAGCGGACCCCTGTGCCCACCCCGCGGGAGGCACGGCGGGAAGCCGGCCGAGACGGCCCCGCCCGGTGCTAGAGGGCGCTGCGGAACCGGGCGGGGGTGGCGAGGCGGCGGCGGGGACCCGGAGTCAGGGGAGGCTGCGCGCGGTCCCCCGGCGCGCCTCCTCCCGCCCGGCGCGCTGCTCGGCCCCGCGGCCGCTGGAGGCGGGAGCGCGGAGCGAGCGCAGGAGCGCGCGCGCGCGTGCGCGCGGCGGTCCTGGCCCCCGCGGGAGCGCGGCTGCGGGGCCGAGCAGGGGCGGTAGGGGTGGGCAGGCCTCTGTCTTAGCCTGCGCAACTGCCCCCGCGCGGGCTGCGGTCCCCGGGGATGCCAGCGGTGGCGAGGCTCGGCCGGCAGGGTCCCGAGCGGCGCCGAGGCCGGCCGCGTACGGTAACGGGCCGGGCGGGGTGCGGGCGATGACTCCTGCCTGCAGGCCGCGGGCGTTGCGGCCCCCGAGTACCCGCTGAGCTCCGAGGGCCGGAGGGGGCTGGGCGGGCCTGCTGGGGGGGGGGGACCCCGCGGCAGGTTCCTGCCCCACCGTGACCCAGCTCCTGCTCCCTAGCTCCGCCCTCTTTGGCCCGGACCCAATCTCCAGGGGCTAAAAATATTGCCCGGAGGCTCCTGAGCGGCATCAGTTGGCGCTAAGTAGGACGCGGGGAGAGGTGACAGAGCTCTTCAGCACCAGGGCCCGAAGAGCAGACTCCAAAACGCGGTCCCGCCCACGCGCGTTCGGCAGCTAGCGTCCTCCCTCCGCCGCCAGGCAAGTGGGGACCCGCGGGCGGTGGCAGCGGGCACTGTGGGTCCTCTCGAGTTGCCCCGTTACCGAGAAGCTATGCCTGGCCTCCGCTACCCTGGGGACTTTGAGTCTCGCCGCTGGCTTCTCAGGAGTCCCTTCAAGCGCTCTGGAAGCCAGGACTGGAAGTTTTGCACAGTACTGACAGGGAGAATACTAGAACACGAACACTGGGTTGTGGTAGAAACGTGAGCATTTCTTCTTTAAGAAGAAATCCATTCTGTGTGCTTCCTGAGACAGGATCTGGGCCAGGCACTGTTTCTGCTGAGTAGCCGTCTGACTCAGGAGGTCAGAGGGGCGAGGCTTGCCGGTCTCTCCAGCCGGTGATTGTACCTCTAAGTCAAACAAACACATGGCCAGGGAGCCTGGATAGACATTCTCTGCGGGCCGAGTCCTGAGCAAGCTGTTTGCAATTCGTGGTTTTGTAATGAAGTGTGGGTCAGAGCCGGGGCTCTGCTCTCCCTGTTTTTTGTTTTTGTTTTTTGTTTTGTTTTTTTAATGTGTTACATTTGTTTATACATGTATATACATTTTTATACATTTATACACCATAGAAAACATGTGGCAATCAGAGGACAGTTTGTGGTAGTTGGCTTTCTCCTTCCGCCATGTGAGTCAAATGGATTAACTTGGTTGTCAGGCTTGGCTGCAAGAGCTTTTACCTACCAAGCCATCTCACCTGCCCCCCACCCCCACATGCCAGTTTTTATAGCTGGGGCTGAGGGGAGACAGAACTCCTGTCCTACAGGACCAGCCCCAGATACATGTGCTACCTGTGTGCTGGGAGTCTCAACCAAGATTTGGTTCTTGGAAGCTCCCTTGCTCTTGACCAGAGTCAGGTACAAATCAGTGCTCCCTGGGAATTCAGAGGGCATTTGGTCGCAAGGCCAACCGAAGGATTTTGCACGCCAGAACTACAGACAGTATCTCTCGGGCCAGGTGCTGTAGGGTCGATATGAAGTTGAAAAAGCAGGTGACGGTGTGCGGGGCTGCCATCTTCTGTGTAGCTGTCTTTTCACTCTACCTGATGCTGGACCGCGTGCAGCACGATCCTGCCAGACACCAGAATGGTGGCAACTTCCCTAGGGTGAGTCACACCTTGTTCTCCAGATGCAGGTCACCTGGGCTCAGGCATCTCCCCAGCAGGAGAGCTGTATGGGACAAGAACACCCTCCTCCCCCATGGTCTTAGGGATTAGTCCTAGAGCCTTGGGCACAAGTGCAGGCTACGTGATCTGCAGGTGAGTTACGTATCGAGCCCAGGAACGCTCCTAGACAGATTTTCCTGCTTTTGGAGGTGAATGCCCAAGGGCTGGTGCTGGCTAAACGCACGCTCTACCACTGGGCTGTGCTCCTAGCCACAACAGGAAGTGAAAGGCAGCAGTGGCAAAAGAAGCAGCAGAAAAGTGGCCTTGTATATTGCTAGACAGAGTTGAGTCCTCGGCGGACCCTGCTAATTGACTGCAGTGTTTCTTTTCCATTAAGCTGAATGCCGTCCCCAGCACCATGTTGAGACAGGAAGTACAGGTCACTGAGCACAGGCATGTGAGATGAAATGTTTGCCTGCCCCCCATGAGCTTCAGGGTGATGCTACTTCCAAGCCAAGTGGATAGGAGTCTGCAGGAGTGATGTGCGGAGCACTTCATCCCTGTAGGCCTATGGTCTGACCTGGCCTGAGGACAGGGGAATCATAGGCCAGTCAGGCATCAGGTGATGACCTCAAGCAGGAATTCTTCCGGTGACAGGGAGGGAGCCGGGAGTGATTCCTTTCTGTTCTTCTTCTTGGCAGAGCCAAATTTCTGTGCTGCAGAACCGGATCGAACAGTTGGAACAACTGTTGGAGGAGAACCATGAGATCATCAGCCACATCAAGGACTCCGTGCTGGAGCTGACAGCCAATGCAGAGGGCCCGCCAGCCCTGCTGCCCTACCACACAGCCAACGGCTCCTGGGCTGTGCTCCCAGAGCCCCGGCCCAGCTTCTTCTCTGTCTCCCCCCAGGACTGCCAGTTTGCTTTGGGGGGCAGGGGGCAGAAGCCAGAACTCCAGGTAAGAGCTGGAGCTGGCGGGGCCCTCGTGTTGTCGGAGACGGGCACTGAGCCGCATTCCTCCCTGGCAGATGTTAACTGTGTCTGAGAACTTGCCATTTGACAATGTGGAGGGTGGCGTGTGGAGGCAAGGTTTTGACATCTCCTACAGCCCAAACGACTGGGATGCTGAAGACCTGCAGGTGTTTGTGGTGCCCCACTCACACAATGATCCAGGTGAAGGCCCCGCAGGCCCGGCGCCAGGGTGTGGGGCAGGCTTTCTGAGGACGAACATAAGGAGGGGTGCGGCTGAAGTGTGCGGCGTATTCAGGGGACCCTATTGTTGCCTCTCCCAGGCTGGATCAAGACTTTTGACAAGTACTACATGGAACAAACCCAGCACATCCTCAACAGCATGGTGTCCAAGCTGCAGGAAGATCCCCGACGACGCTTTCTCTGGGCGGAAGTCTCCTTCTTCGCCAAGTGGTGGGACAACATCAGTGCCCAAAAAAAGGCAGCAGTTCGAAGGTAGTGGTGGTTAGGAAGGCGTGGGGGAGTCATTGCCTAAGCCCCAGCTGGGTGGGTTGGTCTTGCCTCATTCTGTGGGTGCCAAGCTTGTGAGTATTCTCTGGCTGGAGGAGGCCAATGCATGCAGTCCCTGTCATCCTCTCGCTGCCAGGACCAAACAAAGGGTCCCTGCCACATCCTAAGTGTGCCTTCATCCCTAGGCTGGTGGGAAACGGGCAGCTGGAGATTGCAACAGGCGGGTGGGTGATGCCAGATGAGGCCAACTCCCATTACTTTGCCTTGATTGACCAGCTCATCGAGGGACACCAGTGGCTGGAGAGAAACCTGGGTAAGTCCGGGCATGGGAGCTAGACTCTGCCCCAGAGCTGGGCCTGAGCACTGTGGCAAGATGCTGTGAGGTACAGGGATTGGCAGGAAGTTTCTCCTTTAAGAGCTGGCCTCCCAGGCACTAGGAAGCCAGAGGCCAGTCCCCGAGGTATTCAGGGCCTTTGAAATCTCTGCTCTGCATAGGTGCACCCCCTCGCTCGGGCTGGGCAGTGGACCCCTTTGGGCACAGCTCCACCATGCCTTACCTGCTGCGCCGTGCCAACCTGACCAGCATGCTGATTCAGAGGGTGCATTATGCTATCAAGAAGCACTTTGCTGCCACTCACAGCCTGGAGTTCATGTGGCGGCAGATGTGGGGTAAGGCCAAGGAGGGCATGGGTATTATAGCAGTGTAGTCTTCGCTGGGGAAGAGGTTTATTAGAAATCGGACCCCTATTGTCCCTAAGGGCAGACTGCCTGAAGCAACTCTTGTCTTGGGTTAGGAGAGAGTCATGCTGACCTCTGCTGGCTTCTGTGGGCACATGGTCCTGCAGGAGCTGTGGATTTGGCAGCCCCGGGTCCTATTCCCAGCCCACACATATCTACAGTCCTGAGTTTAGCTAGAATCTCATTGTCTCTCAGGGCTGCCTATGGATGACTCGAATCTACACACTTGTGATGTCTTTGTGTCTGGCGGCTAACCCTGCCTGCCTGGGGCTCACCCTATGGTATGTCTTTGCCTTCTGTAGATCCAGACTCCAGCACAGACATCTTTTGCCACATGATGCCCTTCTACAGCTATGACGTTCCACACACCTGTGGCCCTGACCCCAAGATCTGCTGCCAGTTTGATTTCAAACGTCTGCCGGGTGGGCGCATCAACTGCCCTTGGAAGGTGCCTCCGAGGGCTATTACAGAGGCCAATGTGGCAGACAGGTATCTGCTGTCAGCCCTACTTGGGCAAGGTGGTGTTGGGTTTTGGTTTTGATCTGTGTAGCCCCAGCAATACTCAATCCTCCTGCCTCGGTCTCCTGAGAAAGGGGTAGCTGGTATTGACATTTTGCTCCTCAGAGGAGTTAGACTGAAACCTGGCTTCTGGTCTTGGCTGGGCCACACGGGGCTGCATGATGCTGACCATACCTGGAAAAAAGGGTAGACTCCGGTGGAGAGTTCAGGCCATGCATCTGCCTCCCTGGGAGTGGGAATGGTGCTTAGCTTCTTCCCAGAATGCTTTTACTTTCCTCAGGGAAGCTGCCTTCTGATGCCCTAATAGACTGTGAGGCATTCCCCACCCCCACCCCCTTTTTTTCTTTTTGAGACAGGATCTCATATTCCAGGCTGACTGGCTTCAAACATGCCTCCATTTCCTGAGTGCTGGGTTACAAGCATGACTCACCACGCCTGGTTTATGCCCAAATCGGGTTTGTGAGGCCGGGCAAGCACTCTCCAAACTGGGCTACATCCCCAACCCTAAACAACTCTTTTTTTGTTTTTTCTGAGACAGAGTCTCACTATGCAGTTCTGGCTGTCCTGTAACTCACCATGTAGACCGGGCTGGCCTTGAACTCACAGAAATCTGCCACCATTGCCTCCCAAGTGCTGGGACTAAAGATGTGCACCACTATGCCAGGCACCTGCCCTAAACAATTCTTACGTGGGTACCATTTCCTGCAAACTTTCAGCTGCTGTCCTTCATTTGACTTAGGTTCTCTGGGTCAGCTCCAAGTCAGGCAGGTGGGTCTTCTATTCACCGGGCCCAAATCCTGTTTAGATCTACCCAGTCCTGCCAGAGAGCCTCTAACCTCTGAGAAAAAAACCTGTCCCTTCTAAGAGAATAGTAAAGAACCTCAAAGATATCACTGTGACTAAAATTGGAGCCCTGCAAACGTGCTGGTTAAGGTTGATCTAAATGCCACCTTAGCTAAATTGTTGAGAATATAGTAAGTAGCAGTGGCAGTGACTCAGGCTTGCGGTCCAAGCACGCACCAGAAAAGCTACTTTTCTCTTCCTTTTTGGAGACAAGGTCTTGCCATGTAGCTCTGGCTTGCCCAATACTCACTCTGTAGCTCAGGCTGACCTCAAACTTGCAACAATCCTCCTGCCTCAGCCTCCAGGTGTTGGGATTGGAGGCACATGGTACTGTACCTGGCAGGAAAAAGGCTCTAATGACATGCTGTAAGACTCTGCTGGGTAGATAATGTGGATACAAAAATAAATGTTTGCATACAGTTCAAGCCAGGCAGCATTCCTCATGTGTGGATGGGGGCTTTAGACAGTCTCATGGAGCTGCGGCTGTCCTTGAACTTGCTGTGTAGGTGAGGATGGGCTTGAACTACTGATACCCCAAAAGTGCTGGGATTACAGGCATATGCTGCCACACTCAGCAGGCCTTCTCTGTGTAGACCTGTCTGGCTTCAAACTTGGAGTCTTCTTGCCTCAGCTTCCCAAGTGCTGGGATTAAAAGGATGTGCCACTGTGCCTAGCTTTTCTTTTTGACTTTTCTTTTTTCTTTTTCTTTTTTGTTTGTTTGTTTTTGTTGTTTTTTTGAGGCAGGGTTTCTCTGTGTAGTTTTGGCGCCTGTCCTGAATCTTGCTCTGTAGACCAGGCTGGCCTCGAACTCACAGAGATCACCTGGCTCTGCCTCCTGAGTGCTGGGATTAAAGGCGTGCGCCACCATTGCGCGTTGTGCCTAGCTTTTCATAGGAATTTTTTTTTCTCTTTCTTTTGTTGAGACAGTATCTCATTATGTCATCCTGACTGGCCTGAAACTCGCGATACAGATCAGGCTGGCCTCATACAAAGATCTGTCTGCCTTCTGCCTCCCAAGTGCTAGAGTTAAAAATGAATGTCACCCGGCATAGTTTGCATGTGTGTGAGCCCACGTTTGTGGACGCACATGCAGGTCTGTGAGTGTATATGGAGACCCAACATTGATGTCAGAAGTCTTCCTTGGTCTCTCTCCACCTTATTCATTGAAAAAGCTGAACCCAGAGCTTGTCTCCAGTATGGGCTCATCTAGCTGTGCAGCTTGCTCTGGGGAGCCTGTCTCCACCTTCTGAGCTCTGAGATTACAGTCAGGTCACCATGCCCACTGGTATTTACAGGTTTTGGGGGTGGGGTGGCAAACTCCAGTTTTCACGCTTGCGTGACAAGTATTTTATCCACTGAGCCACCTCCCCAGCTTCCTCACTGATCTTTTTAAGTCTGGGACTTCATGTTGGGCCTGTGACCTTCTGTGTTTCCAGGGCAGCCCTGCTCCTGGATCAGTACCGGAAGAAGTCCCGGCTTTTCCGAAGCAATGTCCTCCTCGTGCCGCTGGGCGATGACTTCCGGTATGACAAGCCCCAGGAGTGGGATGCCCAGTTCTTCAACTACCAGCGGCTCTTTGACTTCCTCAACAGCAAGCCTGAGCTGCATGTGCAGGTGGGAGGCGTGTGCAGACGGATCTGTGGCTATAGTGCTGCGGCCCGGTCCTGCCTGTACCAGCCCTGCTGCTGAGGGCTCCAGGTCGTTCCCAATCCTGGGCAAGGTTCCTGTGTGGATCAGAATTCATTCCCAAGTCCCCCAGCTCTTGCTAGGCCCAAAAGAGCAGGACATACAGATTTATCGCCCTTTGCTAGACAAAGTCCTCACCCCTGCCCACACCTGCAGCATTGTGGAATGGTGGCCAGAGATCCCAGGAGGCTCTGTAATTGATGGAAGCTTGTTTTGGGTCCCCACAGGCCCAGTTCGGGACCCTCTCCGAGTATTTTGATGCTCTCTATAAGAGGACGGGAGTGGAGCCTGGTGCCCGGCCTCCAGGGTTTCCTGTGCTGAGTGGAGATTTCTTTTCCTATGCTGACCGGGAGGACCACTACTGGACAGGCTATTACACTTCCCGGCCTTTCTATAAGAGCTTGGACCGAGTCCTAGAAGCCCACCTGCGGTGAGAACTGCCACCTCCCCTTGCTGAGTGAGAGTTAACCTTGGTGGTGTAGGAGGGGCGGGGTAGCGAGAGAGGACCCCATCAGTGTGTGGTGGCCCCCTGGAGAAGGTTGAACAGAACAGGAAGGCTCTGACTTCTTTCTCTGGGTAGTGGGGCAGAGGTTCTATACAGCTTGGCTGTGGCTCATGCCCGCCGCTCTGGACTGGCTGGCCAGTACCCGCTGTCTGATTTTGCTCTTCTGACGGAAGCTCGCCGCACACTGGGGCTCTTCCAGCACCACGATGCCATCACCGGAACTGCCAAGGAGGCGGTGGTAGTAGACTATGGGGTCAGGTAGGAGCCACCCCCCTGTCCCTCATCATTTCAAAGAGAGGATATGCGCGTGATTGGTGGGTAGGCTGCTGAGGGCTGGTCTTGCTGGCGTGGCAGACAGCTTCCTTCCCCATGACCATCTTCTCTCAGCTTTCTCTCCTGCTCACCACAGGCTGCTGCGGTCCCTGGTGAGCCTGAAGCAGGTCATCATCAATGCTGCTCACTATCTGGTTCTGGGAGACAAGGAGACCTACGAATTTGACCCTGGGACACCCTTCCTCCAAATGGTGAGCCCCCTCCGACATCTGCTTGAGAGATGCTCTGGTGTGGGTGGGTACTACCTCAAGAGCTGCTGTTAGTGGGTACCGTTCCTCCTTTGCCTTCTTTGTTTTGGGGTGCAAAGTCCATGCTTCAGGTAGTTGGTGGCTCATGGCCTGGACAGGTTGGGGTGCAGAGGAGGTTGAGCCCCGCCATCATTCTTTCTTCCTGCCCACGTCCTTGCAGGACGACAGTCGTTTAAGTCACGATGCCCTGCCAGAGCGCACAGTGATCCAGCTGGATTCCTCACCCAGGTAAGCCAGGCCTGGCTAGGTTCACAGGGGTACCCTCCACTCCCCACAGTGCAGGGCGCCCTGGTTCTGGCTGCTGCCCCTGCCCCACCGCTGCAGCAAGCTCCTGGGTCAGCCCACCTTCTACCCACAGGTTTGTGGTGCTGTTTAACTCACTGGAACAAGAGCGGCTCAGTGTGGTGACCCTGCTGGTCAACTCCCCAAGGGTGCGAGTCCTTTCAGAGGAGGGCCAGCCCCTGTCTGTGCAGATCAGTGTGCACTGGAGCTCGGCCACTAACATGGTCCCCGATGTCTACCAGGTGAGGCAGGCTCAGTGCTCCCTGCTCAGTACCTCTCCTGGGGCCTCACTCGCCATCAACACCTGCTTCCCACTCCTGTGCTGTGCTCTGCTTCTCCCCAGGATGGAGGCAGGTGGCTTGGGGAGAGGTATTGCCCAAAGGATAGTCACTCTGGGGATTTGAGTATCCTTAGAAGGATGGTGAGGACACTGTGGTACTAATTATAGTCCAGAGGGCAGCAACAGTGCCCTCAGCTGCTCATCCAATATTTATTGTTTACTTCATTGTGACGGGGTCTTGCCTGCTCCCCAACCTGGTCTCTAACTCTAATTCGGACACAAGCTTCTAATGATAATTTATTATGTTGACTTATTATGGATTTCATCTGTGATATGGATGAAAAATAAATGTTCAGATCTAGTTCATACCAAGTGCTGCTTGAAGCACTTAGATATTCAATTCATTGCGAATTTGTTTTTAAAGACAAGGCCTCACTGTGTAGTTCAGGTTGTCTTCAAACTTGCTATCCTCTGCTTAACCTCCTGACTGTTGGGATACAATGATGTACCATCACTCCTGGCTTTCATTAGACTCTTATGAGTGTACACAGTGATGCAGTCGTCATTTCCAGAAGCAGAGGCCCAGAGAGGTTAAGTTATTTGCCTAAGGTCGCTCAGATAGTATGTGAAGCCTGCTTCGGACCCTAGGCTCTCAACTGAGTGCTGTGCCCTTTGGCTGACAGGCGTGCAGAATGACAACTCAGAACCAGGATCCCAAAGCAGACAGGATTTTCCAGATAGAAGTGTAAGGTTCCACACTTAGCTTCAGAAAACAGAATGCAGAGGTCAAGGATGAAGGGAGCAGGCCTGTTTGGACGGCTGCTCCTCTGCTCATGCTTCCTTCTGCCTCTGGGCTCCCAGGTGTCGGTGCCCATCCGCCTGCCAGCCCTGGGTCTGGGTGTGCTGCAGTTGCAGCCAGATCTCGATGGGCCCTACACGCTGCCGTCTTCTGTACGTGTCTACCTGAATGGTGTGAAGCTGTCCATCAGCAGGCAGACAGCATTCCCTCTCCGTGTCATAGACTCCAGCACCAGTGACTTCGCCATCAGCAATCGCTACATGCAGGTCTGGTTCTCCGGCCTTACTGGGCTCCTCAAGGTAAAGGGCCAGGCCAGGGGTGGTGGGGAGGGACCAGAGGAGGGCATGGGCATCAGGGGGGCTTTTGTACCGCTGTTCCTGGCCCCATGTGCCTCCTGTCACCTGACTCACAGTGACTTGGGAGTGAGCATGTGTAGCTGTCAAGCTAACAGCGTGGCAAGGCTGAGTGTGTTAATCATCCGCTACTGTATCTGTGAGTTGTAAAGAAGAGGAGGTCGATTTCAGCTCACAGTTAGTGAGCCTTGAGCCTACAGTTGGGCACACCCACTGCTTTGGGGCCTGTGGTTAGGCAGCATGTCAAGGCAGGGAGCACACCTTAGGAAAGTAAATTACTTCACAGCCAGGATGCAGGAGAGAGGTTGGGTGTTGTGGTGCATACCCGTAATCTCAGCAGTGGAGGGAGCAGAAACAAGAGGATCAGAAGTTCAAGGTCATCTTTGGCTGCATAGCAAGTTTGAGGCCAACCTGGACTACACGAGACCCTTGTCTCAAAAATGTTTAAAGAAAGAACTTGGGGGCTGGAGAGATGGCTCAGAGGTTAAGAGCACCAACTGCTCTTCCAGAGGTCCTGAGTTCAATTCCCAGCAACTGCATGGTGACTCACAACCATCTGTAATGAGATCTGGCGCCCTCTTCTGTGTACATATTAAATAAATAAATCTTTAAAAAGAAAGAAAGAAAGAAAGAAAGAACTTGGGTTTGGTCACATACACCTTTAATGCTAGCACTTGAGAGACCGAGACAGGCGGATCTCTGTAAATTCAAGGCAGCCTGGTCTACATGGTGAGTTCCAGGTCAGCCAGAGTTACATAGTGAGACGGTGTCTCGAAAGAGACAGAGAGACAGAGGGAGATAGAGAGAGAGAGAGAGATGGGGGGCAGATAAAAAGGGACTGGAACAGTCAGGGCTACACAAAGAAACCCTGTCTCAGAAAAAAGAAAGGTGGGTGGGGCTGGAGAGGCATGCTAGATAAGCAGTCTGTTCTGAGAAGCCCTGGGTTGGTCCTCAGCACTGGCCAGAACTGAGTGTGGTGGCACGTGCCTGTAACCCCAGCACTGGCTAGAACTGAGTGTGGTGCCACGTGCCTGTAACCCCAGCACTGGCTAGAACTGAGTGTGGTGCCACGTGCCTGTAACCCCAGCATTAGGAGGCAAAGGCAGGAGGATCAGAAGCTAAGGTCAGCCTAAGCTGGCCGGGGGTGACACGCACCTTTAATCCCAGCACTCAGGAGGCAGGGGCAGGCGGATCTTGAGGCCAGCCTGGTCTAGAGAGTGAGTTCTAGGACAGCCAGGTCTGCACAGAGAAACCCTGTCTCAAAAAAAAAAAAAAAAAGAAAGAAAAGGTAGAAAGGGAAGGGAAGTGGTAGAGCCCACGGTTCCCTACCTCGCTGAGTGGCAGCAGTCTGGGAACGAGCCCTTGACACACAGGCCTTATGGTGGACAGCTAAGATCCCAACCGTAGCACCGGGCTTGGCTCCTTGGGGGAAGTCAGTCCATGCCCTCCTGGGGGAGACCTGACGTGCTGGTGTGGGGCCAGGGGTCAGGGCTGTGTTTCTTGGCAGAGCATCCGAAGGGTGGATGAGGAACAGGAACAGCAGATGGAGGTGAAGGTCCTCATCTATGGCACCCGCACATCCAAGGATAAGAGTGGAGCCTACCTCTTCCTGCCTGATAGCGAGGCTAAGGTAGCTGACACCTCACAGAGCCTGCCGGGCCTGGTGGATGGGGAGAGCCTGGGAGGGACCCGGCATCCCTACAGTGCTCACTGCTTCCTGTATCTTGCCCTGCTGTCCTTGTTCGTCGCCTTGTGGAGGTTGGTGGGCTGTGGTCTTAACCATAGCTCAGGCCTGCTCAGCACAGGTGGTCAGGCCAGGGCCCTGGGCCGAGGACTTCTCTTGTCCCACTCTGGGTTGGTACTGTTACTTCGTCCTCTGTGCTGTGGGTTCAGTGGCCTTTGCTCTTTTTCCAGCCCTATGTCCCCAAGAAGCCCCCTGTGCTCCGCGTCACCGAAGGCCCATTCTTCTCGGAGGTGTCTGCATATTACGAGCACTTTCACCAAGTGGTTCGCCTATACAACCTGCCAGGTGAGCCCTGCGGGTGGGGACGATCACCAGCAGGTGTGAGGTCCACAGGCTGGCACCTGTTCTGCCCCATCGCTGTTGACAAGTAGTGTGTCCTTTGACATGGAATGCCTGACTCCTGGGGAAAAATCCAATCACCACTGCCCTGGGAGCTCCCAGGAGGAGGAGGGTGGGTAGAGCTTCCCTGGGCATAGTCACATCTGGCTCGCCTCACTTCTGGCTGTCCCTGTGTCTAGGGGTAGAGGGTCTGTCTCTGGACATGGCATTCCTGGTAGACATCAGGGACTATGTGAACAAGGAGCTGGCCCTGCGCATCCACACGGACATTGACAGCCAGGGTACTTTCTTCACAGACCTCAATGGCTTTCAGGTACTTCTTGGGCCCCAAGGAACTTAGACTGCTTTGGCCTTCCCATACAGGTGCTGTGGGGGGCGGGGGTGTGCCGAGGACCAGTGGCAAGTGTAGGGCCAGTGAGATGGTTCAGTGGGTGAAGGCTCTTGATCAGGCCTGGGAACCTGAGTTCAATTCCTGGCACGCGGATGAAGGTGGAGGGGGGAACCCATTCCACAGAGTCTTCTCTGACCTCCACGTGTGTGCTGTAGCACACACACACATTTGCACACATTATACACATACACACAATTTAAAAAATAGAGCTGGGCAGTGGTGGTGCTGCACGCCTTTAATCCCAGCACTCGGGAGGCAGAGGCAGGTAGATCTCTGAGTTCAAAGCCAGCCTGGTCTGCAGAGTGAGTTCTAAGACAGCCAGGGCTACACAGAGAAGCCCTGTCTCAAAAAACCAACCAACAACAACAAAAAATAAAACAAAAATAGCCAGGAAAGCCTTCACACCGAGCAGCCTTCAGAACACAAGTCCGACACCATTCCTGGCTGGCTCTGAACTCTTCCCTGCAGGTACAGCCCCGGCGGTATCTGAAGAAGTTGCCCCTGCAGGCTAACTTTTACCCCATGCCAGTCATGGCCTACATCCAAGATGGACAGAGGCGCCTCACACTGCACACTGCCCAGGCCCTGGGTGTCTCCAGCCTCTCTGACGGTGAGTGGGAAACCAGCCTACCCTTTGCTCCCCTCTCTCTAGACCCCACCACCCCAAAGCTTGAAAAGGGGGTGAGCCATCCACAGCTCCTGTCAGTCACACTTGGGAGAAGCAGATGGGTATGGAAGGGTTATTCTCAGTGAGGGATGCAGCTCTTTTTTTTTCTTTTCTTTTTGATTTTCGAGACAGGGTTTCCCTGTGGAGCCCTGGCTGTCCTGGAACTCACTCTGCAGACCAGGCTGGCTTCAAACTCATAGAGATCCTCCTGTCTCTGCCTCTTGAGTGCTGAGATTAAAGGCGTGCACCACTACCAGGCAGGTGGTTACAGTGTAATATTTAGGAAAGGAGAAATATACATATTTCCTCTTAATGGTCAGGAAAAGAAAGGCTGACATTCTTACTAATCAAACCAAGGTTTCTAGGCCTAGAGTAGCACAGACATGTAACCCCAGCTCCTTGTAGGCTGAGGTAGGATCCTAAATTGGAGCTCAGTCTGGGCATCTTCTAAGACTTTGTCTGGAGACAGGTTCTATGATGGAACTCTGGTGTGGCGTGAGCAAGGGGTGAGTCTCCCTCCTCAGTACTGGAGGAGTGAGAAGTTGGCAGGCACAAGGTGAAAGCTCACCCCCACCCCCAGGGATCTCCATAGCCTTGGGACAAAATGAGCATACTTTATGGCCTTAGAGGTCTGTCTGTCTATGGGGTATAGAGCTGGTGAGGGCTGAACCAGATCAAGGCTATGTCACAGTGCTGGTGAGTGTTGAGCCTGCTTCCTCTCCTATCCGCTGCCAGGATTTTTTGGGATCTGTCTGTCTGAACACTCCTGAATACAGCCCATTGTCCTTGCTCAGTCAGCTGTCTGCCCCTCTGGGACATGGGACATTAAGGAATGATTATGTTCTATGCAAGGAACCTATTTTAGGGTTGGAGATCGCTTCCTGTCTGCTCAGAGTACAAAGCCAGAGACTACAGAAATCAGAGTAAGGACTGGGAGATGAAAGGGAGAATTGGCCCTCTGGGGGAAAGCTCTTGTGGGTTACTGTGGTGAAAGCCTTTCTTTCCTCCCATCCCTCAGCTCTGCAATGAGACCTTTCCCCCAAGCCTATTCAAATGGGAAACAGAGGTGGTCCTCCTGTCTCTTATTGGAGGCCTTGCTGAGCCTCACCTCACATGCCTTCTGCCTGTCCTCGCCATAGCCTGCTTCTGACAGGCAACGCCTGTCTGGACTGCTGGGCCTTCTAGTTGATGGCAGGTAGAGCAGCAGCAAGAGAGCATGTGTCAGTCCTGAGTCTGTCCGGCCTGAGAAAGCCAGCCCACCTCAGATGAGGGCCTGCAGCAGTGTGACAGACAGGCCTCTCAGTTTTCCATCTGCTGTTGACAGTGTTCTGTGTGGCCTGTCCCCAAGAGGCTTCCTGCTGCTTAGGCCCAGGGCCCAAGACCTACTTCCGGGTCACATAGGTCAACTGCCATGGTCAGCACCCCCTTTCTAGGTCTCCTGTTCTCCACTCTGCTCTCCCAGTACCAGGAGTCCATCATTCTCTCTTCTGAGGGACTCAGCTTACTGGCCTTTCCCTGAGTCCCTGAGGTGGAGAGTCTACTCCCAAGGTCTGTGTCTGCTTAGCCCTGGGTTTGGCCGCCTGGAGCTTACTGTCGACCTTCCGCAGGCCAGCTGGAGGTGATCTTGGACCGACGGCTGATGCAGGATGACAACCGGGGTCTAGGCCAAGGGCTCAAAGACAACAAGATCACCTGCAACCGCTTCCGCCTCCTGTTAGAGCGGCGAACCGTGAGCCAGGAGGTAATATCTGGGCCTGCTGTGAGCTAGTGTAGGCTCGGCCTTGTGGGTTCCCAAATGTAGCCAGAGGGCAAGGGGCAGACAGCACAGCTTAATTCCCGCGTTGAGGCAGGAGGCCTGTGGCATTTGCTGACCCATCTCATGCAGCTTAGCAGTCCCTCCCCAGCCACACCCTGTCACCTTACCCTGTCATGTTCATCTGCCTCTGTCTTTGGTGCTCTCATCTCCCCCTCCCCTCCCCAGCCTGAACATTTCCTAACCCTGACATAACCCTGCTCATCTCTCGGCTTTCTTTGCCTCACCAGCCTGGCTTTTTCTCCAAACTGGCAACCATGTTTAGGGGCTTGATCTTTTCCAGCAACACGATCAGGAGCCCACAGGTAAGGGTCAGCGAGGGCCTTGGTGGCCTAGGGTGAGCAGGCTAGCCCTGTAGTTTGAGTCTGCTGCCTAGCATCCTGCAGGTGGCTTAGTCCCTTACTCCTCACGTAGATGCCGAGCCCCTGCTATGCTGTGGGAAGTAAAGGATGTGGGCCAATGTGCTGCTGCCCCAGACCCCACTAGTGAGCAGGGTCTAAGTGTCTGCGTATGGCGTGGAAGTGGGGTCTCACTGGGCCTGTGGTGCCAGGGCAGCATGGGCTGAAGAGGTGACAGACGCTGCCTGAAACAGCGGTCACCAGGCTCAGCTTTGGTGAGTGGGAACTGTGCACAAAGTAGAAGGCAGCCATGATGGTGTGGAAGGGAGACCTGCTGTGATTTTAGACTAAAGCAGTGCTGGCCAGCATGGCAGCCACCATCCACGTGTCCTGGCCATTTCTGGGTACTTGGATTGAACCCAGGGCTCTGTACATGTTAGGCAAGTGCTCTACCACTCACTAAGCTACGTCTCCAGTCCAGTTTTGGTTTTAGGTTGGTGTTGGTTTTGGGGTGTGTGTGTGTGTGTGTGTGTGTGTGTCAGACAGGGTCTTATGAAGCTTGGGCTGCCCTCTTGATGTAGTAAGGATAACCTAGGGTTATCCTTGGTTAACCTTGATTTTGGCCTCACTGTTGCTGTGGCTGGCCTTGAACTCCTGAGTTCAATGAGCCTCTGGTCTCAGTCTCCCAAGTAGCTAAGAGCACAGACATGCCACCATGCCCACCCAGTTACATAGGCTGTTTACTTACTTGCTTTTTTTTTTTTGAGACAAGGTCTCATGTAGCCCAGGCTAGCCTTCATCCTCCTGCCTCTGTTTCCCAAGGGTTAGAATTATGGGAGTATACCACCAGGCTTGCTTTTTTTTTTTTTTAATTTATTTATTATGTATACAGTGTTCTGCTTGTGTGTATCCCTTCAGGCCAGAAGAGGGAGCCAGATCTCATTACAGATGGTTGTGAGCCACCATGTGGTTGCTGGGAATTGAACTCAGGACCTCTGGAAGAGCAGTTGGTGCTCTTAACCTCTGAGCCATCTCTCCAGCCCCCCCCCCCTTTTTTTTAAACGTGTAGCTGCTCAAATGAATGAGGATGAAATAAGTTGAGGTTTTTCACTCACACCAGCCACACTCCTTGGCCAGGTGTGGTGGGCGGCACGGGTCTTCAACTCTGGCACTCAGGAGATAGAGGCGGTAGATCTCTATGAGGATAAAGCTGGTCTGCATAGGGAGTTCCAGGGCAGCTGATGCTACATAGTGAGACCCTGTCTCAGAACAATAAAGAATAAAAACAAATTATAGGGAGCTGGAGAGATGGCTCAGTAGTTAAGAGCATTGACTGCTCTTCCAGGGGACTCATGTTTGATCCCAGAACTCATAGGGCAGCTCAGGGCCATCTCTAATTCCAATTCAAGGGACACAGTGTCTTCTTTTGGCCTCCAGGAGCACTGCATACATGAAGTGCACAGACTATATGCAGGCAACCCCCCCCCCACACACACACGTACACAAACTAATACTAATAAATTGTCTTTTAAATGACATTTAAGCCCCCTGTGGTCCCAAGTGGTCAGTAGCTATCACAGAAGCCATGACAGACGATGTTTGTTAATCAGAAAACTCCATGAACCAGTGCTGGCCTAGGGCATGGTGGAAGGGAGGGCCAGGGCAGGCTGCAGAGATCTGGGGACCACGGAAGGACCTGAGTAGGGAGGGGTGCTGTCAGGGTTTGCCCTCAGCTGTCAGGACCGCAAGCAGCAGTGTGGCTGTGGGGAGACAAAGTAGGGATGACAGTTTTAAGATGTTGGAACAGGAGGCCTTAGTGACTGGAACTAAGCCAAGGGCAGGAGAATGGAGTTGGAGTGGCAGTCTGCGTTGAGGACATTGCAAAGCAACATGGAAGAGGAACAGGCCCTGCCCGGGCTTGAAGGGAGGCACTCAGAAGGTGGGGCCAGGGTCCGGGATCCGCATAGAGAAATGGAGTGGCTGTGGAGAAAAGTCCCATGTAAGCCTGTGAATGTGGCATCCTGGGGGACACTTGAGGAGTGGTCTTACCAGCTTGAGCTGGTGGACCTGAGCGGCAGGCTGGCTGCGGATGTGGTGGCATCCGGACATGGGATAGTTAGAACACTGTCGCTGTGAGAAGCCTGTCTGCCTGTTGAGCATGCCTGCTCCTCTCTGTGGGGTAACAGCATGATCGTGTTAAAGAAGACACAGAAGCGAGCCCAGTAGCACAGCCCTCTCTGAGCTGAGTGCCATGAGAAGTAGCCACTCAGGAAGGGTTGGAGGTTCGGGGCCTGGAGGCAGGCAGCCAGAGTCCAGGTGACCCAGGAAAGCTGTTCTCAAAGGATCTGGCCTGCCTCTCCTGCTTCACCCCTTAGCCTGGCGCTGCTCCCTCACCTGTGTTTTGGGTCCATCTTGCAGGTCCAAGATGAGCGCTCTGCCAGCTACCCGTCCCTCCTCAGCCACCTGACTTCGATGTACCTCAGCACGCCTCCACTCGCCTTGCCTGTGGCCAAGAGGCAGGTCACCAGCCCTACTCTGCGCTCTTTCCACCCTCTGGCTTCTCCGCTGCCCTGTGACTTCCACCTGCTCAATCTCCGCACGCTCGCATCTGAGGTAAATGTTCCAGTGAGTGCTAAACCTTACCACCAGGTTCTGCGCCCCCTCTTCCCTGTTCAGCCTTGCCTTCTGGGCAGAAGTGCTGCCCACCTCCATTGCTCTTGCCCCTGACTGTCTTCCAGGACACCTCACCCTCAGCTGATGCTGCCCTCATCTTACACCGCAAGGGCTTTGACTGTGGCCTTGAGGCCAAGAACTTGGGCTTCAACTGTACCACAAGCCAAGGCAAGGTGAGCAGGCCCGGTATGGGAGGCAGGGCCCCTGTCGGGACAGTGAAGCCCGGGAGCAGAGCTGAGAGCTTAGAGGGAGGCTGGGCTGGGGTTGGCAGCAGAATGAGAGGAGCAGGTGTAACCGCAGGACTCCCAGAGACAAAGGGGAGGCTGTTGATGTGGTTTTCAGTGCTGAGCTGGGCCCGGACAAGAACACGGGAGGGCCCTGTACTGAGCGAAGAGGGAAACCTGAGAAATGAAAAACTACTCACTGTGCCTTTCAAAGCATGACTCACGGTGTCCCCTGGCCTTTGCTTGCTCTGGCGACTTGTTCTCAAACGCAGCTTGGTGTAACAGTTCCTACACTGAGGAGCCCCGACAGGCTTGTTGGACAGACAGCAACAAAGCCTGTCTGAGGCTTGTTGCTTTCCTAAGGTCATTGCCTTCTTACTTTTTATATTTATCTTATTTTTATTTATTTATTTTGTTTTGTTTTGTTTTTCGAGACAGGGTTTCTCTGTGTCCTTTTGTTGCCTGTCCTGGATCTCGCTCTGTAGACCAGGCTGGCCTCGAACTCACAGGGATCCGCCTGGCTCTGCCTCCTGGAGTGCTGGGATTAAAGGCTTGTGCCACCACTGCCTGGCTCTTATTTTTATTTTTGAGACAAGGTCTTATGTAGGCTGAATACAATGTTACTGTGTGGCCAAAGCCGAGCTGAACTCCTGAGGCACCTGCCTCTACCTCCCAAGAATTGCAACTGTGTGTCACTGGCTCAGCTGCTTTCCCTAAGGATCTGAGGGAATGCCAGGGGTCATTGTAGGGCTCGGGAGACTGAGAAAGGATTGTTGTGAGTTCGAGGGCAGCCTGGATTGCAATGTGAGACCCTGTTTTCAAAAAGATGTAAGGAGGGTTGGGGATTTAGCTCAGTGGCAGAGCGCAAGGCCCTGGGTTCGATCCTCAGCTCAAAAAAAAAAATGTAAGGAAGAACTTACCCCAGTGTTGGCAGTGCCCAGCTCAGCCGGCCTCCTCTCTCTTCACAGCTGGCCCTGGGAAGCCTCTTCCATGGCCTGGATGTGGTATTCCTGCAGCCAACCTCTTTGACTTTGCTGTACCCTCTGGCCTCACCCTCCAACAGCACGGACATCTTTGTGGAGCCCATGGAGATTGGCACCTTCCGCCTCCGCTTGGGTTAGGGTAGGGCTTCTTGTGGCCTGAAGAGAAAGTTCATCCACAGAGACCACCTCTCGACACCAAGATGGGGTTGGACAAGTCACACTAGTATCACATCCCGTTCTGCCTCTTGGAACTGTGACAGACTGAGCATTGTCCCTTGCCTTGTCTATTGCTGCTTCTGTGTTTGGGGCAGCCCACACATCTGTGGTGAGCAGAGGCCAGTGAGACAAGGGAGAGGAGGTTCTTTGGGTTGTGAGTGGGTGCCCAGTGGGGCACAGCCTCAGGCTCCCATCCTTTTCCCAAAATGGGACGTAGGAAGAGTGGGGGCACACGGAGGAGGTCAAGGAGGCTGAGGGGGAGCAGCCCAGAGCCAGGAGACTGCAGTTATGAGCTAGCTCGGGGGTCCTATGGTGACATAGACCCCACATGTCCTGGTATGAGGCACAGGGGCAAAGTGCTTCTGGGAGAGGGGGAGAAGGACCCATTGTTAGTGGAGCAGAGGAGCGGAAGGATCCCTGCCTCTCCCAAGAGCTGAAGGGCTTTGCTGCTTTCTGTTCTCTGCCTCTGCTCAAAGTGCCACTGGGCCTGTATGTCCTGGCTAGTGACTGCTGGGTGGCAGGAAGGACTTGCCGAGACTCTAAATCAAGGCCAGAGGCCAGAGAACACTTCGGGAACCCACCCCCATTCTGCGCGGGTCATTTGTGATGTGTGGATTTGTGGCGGGGGTGAAAGGTGTCTCCCACCCTTCCTGCCTCTTCAGCTCACACACCACTCTCCTCACAAGTTCCTATCGTGGGGTTCCTGGCTAAGTTTTCCCTAGAAAGGAAACGGAGCTTCCAAGAGCCCTGTGTTTGGGCACCTTGGGAAGGTACCCATGCTGGGTCCAGTGGAAGGCTTCGAGGTTAATCTTTGTTCCATCTGCAGAAATATTACTCTCCTGGTGCGTGGGACGAAGAGGATGGAGACAAAATTAGGAGACTGTATGCTTCGATGAGCCTTCATTTTAGCTTCACTTAATAGAGAATTTGTCTATACATGGTGAAAGAGGGTTGGTAAAAGTGAAACTCCATCTCTCATGAAGACTTAGTAAGCCAGGACAAGAAAGAAGCATCATAGTCTAGATAAAGGTCCCTGTCACCAGTGAAGAACCAAACAACACAGGTGCTCCCCTGAGAGTCAGAAACTAGCCGGGGGCATGCTGTTATGTAGCAGAGTCATGGTATCACCCACCCCTCAGTTCAGATGGAGACGAAGAATCATGACTGCCACTGTTTTTAAACCATAAGCTACCTAAGATATCAGTGTCAGCTGAAGACCCAGCAGGGCATTCTGTGAGTTGCCTGAGTACATGCTCCTTCCCAAATCAGCCCATAAAATCAATGGAATTCCAGGGAGATTGGCACTTTTTGGAATTCTGCCAGTTCTGCCATTCATTTAGGAGAGTACAGGATGAGGAGTGAGGTAGTTCTGAAAGGCAGTGGTGATGTATGCTGGTGGTACCAAGGTGGGCACAAGGCACGGTACGGCAGCGTCCTCAAAGGCTTGGACTCTGCCAGCATGAGTTCAGTCATCATGATCAGATCAGAGAGACTGATGGGCAACACGGAGAGACCCAGGCACACAGAAATGTGTGTGTGATTTCAAGTGCAGGGAGGTGGGGGAGGTGGATTATTTAATAAATAGTTCTTTGAGACAACTAGCTATCTGTTAGTTAGAACTCTACCTCAGTTCCCCAAAAACTAGGTCTAGAGGGAAAAAACAAAACAATTCAAGAAACACACACACACACACACACACACACACACACATTTTGAGACAGGGCCTCACTGTGTAGCTCTGGCTGTCCTGGAATTCACTATGTAGACCTGTAGACCAAGCTGGCCTCAAAGTCACAGAGACCCCCTCCTGCTTCTGCCTCCCCAATGTTGGGACTAAAGGCGTGTGCAACTGCACCCGGAGAGAAAATATATTTTTATACCTGATGTAGGAAGGTCTTTTCTAGACAACATGAAAACTTAACACACGATAGAGGGAAAGACTAAAAAATGGGTTTGCCACAAAAAAATGGAAAGCATGTTCTAGGAACCAGGTTAAAATACAACTGTGCAGGTAGGTGTTTGTAGTAAGTAGTCCCTGCAGGAGAAAGCTTGCTTTGGCTCCTCAGAGAACGCCACTAGGACCTGCCCAGCAGTCACCCAAAGATCCACTAGTGACAGGGCTGAGTTCTTGCAGCCCTCCAGAGTACATGCAGCCGGTCTCAGGCCACATGGATTCCAGTCATGTCTTGCTGAAAGAAATAAGATAATGAGTGGGAAGTGCTTAGCACAGAGCCTGGGCTGTGGACAAGTGTAGGTGGAAGTTTGTCCTGACCGCCTAAACACGTTAGGAAAGAATATGAAGCCACTGTTACAGCAAGTGTTATTTGCTGGTATATGCTTTGTAGTCAAATGATAGGGGAGACTCTGTGAACCCCTAGGAAATTAACAGAATAAAGGATATTCTTTGAAGGTCTTAGATGTGCAGTAAAGTTAATCACACAGAAGTGTTTGGGGAGTGGGGGAGTCTTGCAATGTATCTCTGGTTAACCCAGACTTGCCATAGAGAACCAGGCTGGCCTTGAACTTGTCATCTTCCTGCCTCTGCCGCCCACATGCTGGGCTCACAGGTAGGTACCACGTGCTCGGCTGGTGTTTACACGTGTAAATATTACTTAGGGCAGTATTGTTCATGATGTCCAGTTGAAAGACCCCCGTCTGGAGTCTTCCCTCTGGAGAGACCCTCGCCCAGAGATCACACCGAGACCACAAGTCAGATGCAAACAGCAAGAGGCTTTATTCAGGAACACGGGTACCCGGGGCGATACAGTCCCTCCAGAGGCTGAAGAGACTGGCGCGCCGACGGGCTGGAGTGGAGGGTTTTTATATGGTTGGGCAGCGGAAGGGCGGGTACAGAAGCAGGAAGCATAGTTTACAGGGTTCTGATTGGACGATTCGTATGAGGCCAGGTTCAAACTCAGGACAGCTCGTGGTTTTTCCCCCGAGCTCGACGCCTGCTGACTTGGCTCTCATCCAGGGTACAAGTTGTTTTTCTGACCTCTAGTTACTTTTCAGGCCTTGCTCAAAAATGGCGTTAGGCTAAGCAAGTATGCTGGGGCCCTTCATTCCCCCATTTTCTTATCTCGGAATGGAATCCTCCATTCATGGGGAAGAATAGGGATGTGGCTCCATTTCCACCTGGTTGAGTCGTTGGTATTGTTGGGTCAATACCAAGGTCTGAATAGTAGAAACGCGTTCCCTGATAAATTGGACAAGTCTGTTTAGGATACAGGGCCCGAGCGTCAGAAGGAGCAATAAAATCAGAAGGGGTCCCATAAGGGTGGAGATGAGGGTGGTGAGCCAGGGGGACCTTCTGAACCATCCTTCAAACCATCCCTGCTGTTCTTCAAAGAGTTTTTGTCTTTGTTCTAATCTTTTTCTTAATCTAGCCATGCTATCTCTCACCACCCCAGTATGATCCGCATAGAAGCAACATTCTTCTTTAAGGGCGGCACATAACCCCCAATCCTGCAGGAAGAGGAGGTCTAATCCCCTCCGATTCTGCAGAACTACTTCAGACAGGGAGGTGAGTGACTTTTCCAAGGCACTCACGGATTCCTCCAGTGCCTGGATATCGGTATGCATGGCAACCTGGAGTTGTCTGAACTGGTTGGTTTCCATGAGGGCAGTGGTACCTGTGCCTATTCCGGCAGCGACTCCTCCCATAGTTAATCCACCTAGTATCAGGGCCAGGGTTAGCGAGACTGGCTCTCTTTTTATACGGGGGACCCCTGTCTCATATCGGGCATAGATATCTTCAGGTGCATGGTAGACTATCTTGGGGTACAGTTCTATGAGCACACAATAATCGGCCGTGTTGGCTAGTATTGAGGAGGAGAGGCATGGTGTAAGTCCAGTGCTACAGGCCCAATAAGTTCCGTTGGGAGCCACGAGATAGTGGGGTCCTGGAACAAGTGCCTGGGTGCGATTACACAGGTGTTGGTGGGTGTAGGGTACTATCCCCAGACATAGTCCTTGTCCTGACACCTCGGAGATTGTGAGCTTATGCTGAGGTGTCGAGGCACATCCTGACGGGGGTGAAGAAGAATTGGTGAAGCTTCCGACTACGGCCACCCCCTCATAATAGGGAGGTGTGGAGACTAGGCATAACCAGCATTCCTGAGTCTGATTTGGGTTGGTAACATTGAGGGCTGAGTAAGCGCCCTCTATAAGATTCAATAGCCGGTCTCCCGTACCGGGCCTGGGTGGCTGGAGGGTGACTGGGGTTACAGTAGCATTCGGAGCCGTGCTTGGTCGAATGGCTGAATTGGGTCGGGGGGTAGCCCTCGGGGGTGCCGGAGCGGGTAAAGAGGGGCGCTTTTGGTCAGAGAGAACCTGGTTGGGACCTATAGAGGCGGAGGGCTCCGTGATTTTAAGCCTAATCGTAAACACGACTCCCTGGTCCCATCCCGTCATGTAAAGTCTAAGTCCCCATGTTTTACCTTTAATCCAGTCTTGTGTTATCTCCCTTCCCTTCTGAGTAAAAGATATATTCAGGGGGTTGCAGGTGAAATTTACACAGGGCCCCCCCCTTTCCAGTAAGTGTTATCTCTTCCTGACGTGACAGTTCCCCAACAACGTCCTTGAGTAAGAGGACGCCATGAGTGGCTTTCTCTTTGGGTAGTTCTTTTTACCCTAATGAGGTCCCAAGTGGATGAAGGCTCCCAATAGGTATTACCAGTTGTTTCACATCCCCATGCTTTACAGAAGTAACTTTCATAACCCCCACATTGTCTAATCATCTTTCTGTCCCTACCATCCCGGGGGCAGACGTAAAAGGATAGTTGTGACAGGGCTGCTCTGGTTTCAGGGTGACCACATCCATATCTCCCGTCACTACATTTGCAAGTTCCCTTACCATCCTGACAGACGTCTGGTGCTCTGGGGTTCATGGGGTCAGTGGTAGGGATGTCCCAGTCCTCTGACCCTGCTACTAGTTGGCAGAGATCTGGATGCAAGTTAGGCCACCATGTGAAGGGGGTGTGAAGGGCGGCCGTTTGCCAGACCGTCTCCCCAGTTTGTGAGATAACCTGCCAAGTGAGCCTCTTAACTAGGTGCGGGCTCTCTGCCGCCCTAGTCCCCTGGGGGTAGGCAGAGATTAAGAGGAGGGGGAGGAGGAGGAGCCGCGGGCCAACCTTATTTTTAGGGGGTTTCGTGTGCGGCGCACTGTCCATGTTGACTTTCTGGATCCTGCTGGGTCGGGTTCCCTGGCAGCCTTCACATGCGAGGCGTGGATCCATGCAGCAATCCCGTCGACCTTGAGTGCAGTGGGGGTGGTCAGCAGGACAGTGTAGGGCCCCTTCCACCGTGGTTCCAGATTCTTGGTCTGGTGTCGTCGGACCCAAACGGAGTCCCCGATCTGGAAGGGGTGGGGCACCACCGGCTTGTCTAGCTGCTCCTGATAGGCCTTGGCCAGGGGCTTCCAGATCTCCCTCTGCACCAGTTGGAGAGCTTGAAGATGTGCCTCTAAAGTAGGGGTGGTAGCAAAGGAGGAAATATCAGGATGGAGAAAGTCTACAACAGGAGATGGGGCCCCATACATGATCTCAAAAGGGGTTAGGCCGTGTGGGCCAGGAGTATTTCGGGCTCGGTAGAGAGCCAAGGGAAGTAGGAGCACCCAATCTCTAGTGCCAGTTGCAAGCGTTAATTTGGTTAAAGTCTCCTTGATTGTTCTATTAGCTCGTTCTACCTGTCCTGAGCTCTGGGAGCGGTATGCACAATGGAGTTTCCAATCAACCCCCAATAGTTTGGCCACCTTCTGACTTACCTGAGAGACGAAGGCAGGCCCGTTATCCGACCCCAATATTTGAGGCATCCCATACCTGGGGAAGATTTCTTCCAACAGTTTCTTTGTTGTCACGTTAGCCGTCTCATTCTTGGTTGGAAATGCCTCGATCCATCCGGAAAAAGTGTCCACGAAGACCAGGAGGTACCGGTACCCGTAGAGTCCGGGTTTTACTTCTGTAAAGTCTATTTCCCAATGAACACCAGGACGATGGCCTCTTTGGCGGGCCCCCTTGTTTAGATGAACCTTTCCTGCGTTGACTTGAGCACAGGCTGGGCAGGTAGAAGTTACCTGCTGGAGTACCTGATCCTGGTTCAGCAGCACTGCCCAGGTGTTTTCTCTGTCCAATAGGGTCTTCATCTTGTTTTTGCTCAAATGGGTCAATGCATGGAGGAATCTCAGCATGTATCGGGTATGGGAGGTTGGCATGACCATCCGGTCCCCTAGTATATATGCTTGTCTTCCTTGTTCCCAGTCCGCCCCCATTTTCTTTGCTAGTTCATGGTCTTCTGGGCTATAGGGCACGGGGTCTCTCTCAGGCTGTGGTTCTTGTATGGCCATCAACTGGCTGCTCCCTGCTGGCTGGGAAGCCACTGTTCGGGCAGTCAGATCCGCCAGCCGATTCCCTCTGGCTACCGCAGAGTCATCCTTTTGATGCCCTGGGCAGTGGACAATACTGAGTTGGAGCGGGAGGAACAGGGCCTTTAGGAGGTCTAGGATCTCTTTTTTGTTTTTGATTTCCTTACCCGCGGACGTCAGCAGGCCTCTCCGTCTGTAGATTTCCCCGTGGACATGCGCAGTGGCGAAGTATTATCTGCTGTCAGTATAAACTGTGAGCTTCTTACCTTCTGCCATCCGGAGAGCTTGGGTGAGTGCAATCAGTTCTGCGCGCTGGGCCGATGTCCCGGGCGGGAGTGACGATGCCCATACCACTTCCGATTCGGTGGTTATAGCTGCCCCGGCTCTGCGTTCCCCCTCCTCCGGGAAACTGCTCCCATCTGTGTACCAGACAGCGTCTGGATCCTTCAGATCAGGGCGGGTGCCAGGTGCTTCGGCTAGAATCTGGAGGCAGTCATGCTCCTCGGAGGGGCTAGGCAGTGGCAGCAAGGTAGCAGGGTTAAGGGAAACTGTCGGCCCAAAATTTACCCGGTCTGAGTCCAGTAGTAAGGCCTGATAGTAAGTCATTCTGGCGTTAGAAAGCCATCTGTCCGGTGGTTGTCGGACCAAGGCCTCCACTGCATGGGAGGCCAGCACAGTCAACGGCTGTCCCAGAGTCAGCTTCCCGGCATCCTTAAGTAATACGGCAATGGCTGCCACCATGCGGAGGCATGATGGCCATCCTGTAGCCACCGGGTCCAATTTCTTGGACAAGTACGCTACAGGTCTCCTCCAAGGTCCCAGTCTTTGCACCAGTACCCCTTTGGCAAAACCTGAGTTCTCATCCACAAACAGCTCAAAGGGCTTGGTTAGATCTGGCAGACCCAGAGCCGGGGCCTCGAGTAAGGCCTTCTTGATCTGTTGGAACGCTTTCTGATGCTTCTCCTCCCATTGGAACATGGCCCCTGGTTTAGTGAGGGGGTACAATGGGGCTGCCAGTTCGGCAAAGCCAGGAATCCAAAGGCGGCAGTACCCAG